CCTGTCAAATAAATAAATAAATAAAAAAGAAATTACTCCATGTTGAGCTTTTGGATGTATTACCTGTTTGGTTTTTACTCAGGGCTGGCAACTTCCATAGATACTTGTGTTTCATTATTAGTGATATCTTTCATGGAAACTAGGGACAGGTAACCATTATGCCAAAGTAAACAAAGCATGGAAGAGATGATGTTAAAAGGCCAAAACAGAAGTTTAGAGAAGATGTGATGTGATGGGAAAGAAATTTCAGAATGAACAATCATTTTATAGAATGTATCTTGGGATGATTATTTGATTATTTTAATATAGTTAATATGCATGTACTTTGTAGGTAGGATATGTATATGGTTGGGGAAATGAGCAAGAGCATGTGTATTATTAGGGGCTTATCTCAAAAGCACGGTTCTGATTAAAAGAGGCCAGTTACAGAACAGTGTGCACTATTTTACATTTAGGGAAAAATAAGCCAATGTGTATTTTTGGTGGGTACATATTAATATAGTCATCCCCCTGAATTTGTTCCAGGACTCCCACCTCCCCAGAATACTAACATACAGGAGACCAAAATCCACTGATGCATAAGTCCTATATATAAAATGGCATAGTATTTGCATGTTACCTATTCAACCTGCCTGTATACTGAATTTTTAAAAACAAAGATTTTGAAAGGTGGAGTTACTGAGAGAGAGGGAGAGACAGAGGTCTTCCATCTGCTCATTCAGTCCCCAAATGGCCTCAACAGCTGGGGCTGGAGCTGGCAGGAGCCAGGAGCCAGTAACTGGTTTAGAAGTAGAGCATTCTGATATGAGATACCAGTGTCACAAGTGGCAGACTAACCCACTGTGCTACAATACCACCCCCAGGAATTCCTCTCTGGTTTGGCTGTATTATCCTATGACTGTATTTATCATTTCCTAGCCTTTTCAAGCATCTGTTCACTTTTTGATTTTTGGTTGTTTTCTTCCCATTCTTCCCAACCAAGCCCTCCTTGTTCAAGGAGCACACTGTAACTGATTAATGTAGAAGCACTAGAACATTACTGGCAGGGACTTGAGAGTCAGAGACACATCCTGATTTCTGACGAGTTCTGTGACTTTGAGCAGCTATGCAACATTTCTGAGCTCAGGTTTTCTTCCCCTCTCTGAAATGGAGATAATCCTTGCTCTGGAGGGTTGTGGGGAGGGTCGAGATCATGGCTGTAAATCAGTTAGTGCAGTGTGTAGCACATAGGCGGCATGGTTAATTTTAGTGTTTGATTCCAGAGCTACTTTTTTCCTCAGATGCTGTTGGCACTTGAAGCCTTCTACTTTGTATTTCCATGAGAAGAAAGTCTGGGTATGAGCCCAAAAGAGGAAAGGATCCTGAATTCCTCTTCCAAGAAAAGGGCAGATAAATGAGGAAGGGCTGATAGAGGCAGACTCAGAGCTGTGTTGTGGGGTTAGATCAACAGCTTTTTTGGGTTAACTAGTTGTTAGTTGAACGAGGATAATTGACCAAGGGCTAGTGAGGTTGCCTGTGTGGTAGGGTGGGGTTAAAGAGACCTCTGTCAGGCTTATGGCAAGATTAGGTTAAAGAGATGTGTTTGTAATGAAGATTTAAGGTTGAGGGGCTGACGCTGTGGCATAGTGGGTAAAGCTGCCACCTGCAGTGCTGGCATCCCATATGGGTGCCGGTTTGAGTCTCGGCTGCTCCACTTCTAATCCAGCTCTCTGCTATGGCCTGGGAAAGCAGTAGAAGCTGGCCCAAGCCCTTGGGCCCCTACACCCAAATGGGAGACCCAGAAGAAGCTCCTGGCTCCTGGCTTCAGATCAGTGCAGCTCTGATCATTGCAGTCATTTGGGGAGTGAACCAGCAAATGGAAGAAATCTCTCTCTCTCCCTCTGCCTCTGCCTCTCTGTAACTCTGCCTTTCAAATAAAATAAACAAATCTTAAAAAACAAAAAGACTTCAGGTTGGATGCATTAGCAGGAAGTCAAGGAAGCACTACAGTGAGTGCTTTTAAAAGCGTGGTCTGGATTGGACTGGGTTTAAGCCCTGGCTCCATGCCTTACTGGTCCCATATCCTTGAAGCACTTACTTAATCTCTCTGAACCCAATTGCTTAATTTATAAAATGGGTATAAAAGTCACCTACTGGCCGGCGCCGCGGCTCACTAGGCTAATCCTCCGCCTTGCGGCGCCGGCACACCAGGTTCTAGTCCCGGTCGGGGCGTCAGATTCTGTCCCGGTTGCCCCTCTTCCAGGCCAGCTCTCGGCTGTGGCCCGGGAGTGCAGTGGAGGATGGCCCAAGTGCTTGGGCCCTGCACCCCATGGGAGACCAGGAGAAGTACCTGGCTTCTGCCATTGGATCAGCGCGGTGCGCCGGCCACAGCGCGCCAGCAGTGGCGGCCATTGGAGGGTGAACCAACGGCAAAGGAAGACCTTTCTCTCTGTCTCTCTCTCACTGTCCACTCTGCCTGTCCAAAAAAAAAAAAAAAAAAAGTCACCTACTTCAGAGTTGCAAGGTTACATATGGCATGTTAGAACAGTACCAGTCACATAATATTTGATACTTGATAAATTTATTAATTTTAAGTCAGGCTGGAGGAAGAGAACAGGACTTAGGCAGAAAGGGTGTGTTGTTCCTGTATACAACTGATGACATCTGTCATTGGTTATCTTCAAATAATCAATAATGGGATGCATTATTGTTTTTTTTTAAGATTTATTTATTTATTTATTTCAAAGGCATAGTTATGGAGAGAGGGAGTGACAAAGAGATCTTCTATCCCTGGTTCACTCCCCAGGGAGTGAACTGCAATGGCCAGAGCTAAGCCAATACGAAGCGAGGAGCCAGGAGCTTCTTCTGGGTCTCCCATGTGGTTGCAGGGCCCAATCACTTGATCCATCCGCTACTGCTTTCCCAGGCCATCAGCAGGGAGTTGGATCAGAAGTGGAGCAGCCAGGACTCGACTTGGTGCCCAAAAAGGATGCCAACACCACAGACAGATGCTTAACCTACTACACCATGGTGCTGGCCCCAGGATGCATTATTTATAGGTTTTCTAATACTTCCTGAAAAAACAAAACCAAACTAAAACCAAGCAGGAAAACAAAAGAAGTTGTGTTCTTTTCCCCCAGTATTGAGAAAACAAAAAATGTGAAAAAGGACGTAGGGTAGTTGCCACTGTAATTTTTGTCATTGAATGCTAAATTGTAGGCTAGTTTTCACTGTGCATAATGTCTGCTTATTAATTTTACTACAATTTTTTTCAGTTTTTCTGATTTTTTTTGTTCTGTCCTCATAGGCTTCCTGGTTAATCAGTTATTTCAGCAATGTTTCTTACTTGTAAAACAAAAAGGGTGAATGGTATGTGACAAATATAAATTGATGAGACATGGGTAGAATTAATTTTAATGAGAAAATAAGTCTTTCAGAGGACCATAATCTATTTAGTTTAGAAGCCTGTGAAAATTTTGTTATGCCTTTCATGTGTCATATGCTTTCATCTGTTGAGCATTAGTGAACACTGTTTTATTAGCATCCGTGAACTTCCGGGTTTTAAAATCTATATTCCAGCACTCTGAAATGGCATCACACAAGTCTTAAGTTCTTCCTAATATTACAGTAGCTACCATAGCCTTGTATGTTCTGCTATGCAGTACTGAAAACCACTGTAAAGAGAAGATTATCTCCATTTTATAGATGAAGATAATGAAATATTAGAAACTTGTTCAAAGTGATATGGTGGTAACTGGAAGAACCTGACTTTAAAAATCAAATTTTTTAAAAGATTTATTTATTTGAAAGGCAGATTTACAGAGAGAAAATGATAGAGAGCCCTTCCATCTGCTGGTTTGCAAATGGCCTCAACAGCTGGGGCTGGGCCAGGCTGAAGCCAGGAGCCAGGAATTTCATCCATGTCTCCCACAAGGGCCGCATTCTGCTGCTTTCCCAGGTTGCATTAGCAGGGAGCTGGATCAGAAGTGGAGCAGCCAGGACTCAAACAGATGCCCATATGAGATGCCAGCATTGCAGGCGTATCTTAACCTGCTGCACCCAAGTGCCAGCCCCTGAAATCAAATTTTGATTTCAAAGAGCCGAGACATAAACTGGCACCCGTAAGCGATGCTGGCGTTGCAGGTGACAGCTCTGCTCACTATGCCCCAACACCAGCCCTGTCAAAGTTTGGGTTTTTAAGAACCACAGTACCAAATGCCTCTTTAAACTGCAGTCAGTCAGAAAACTGCAAAGCTGACCCTCTGCAAAGTGGCCAGGCTTATTTATTGCCTTCCTTGCCATTATTTTACTGTCCAATTTAACTCAACAGAATGAGGTGTAAAAACTTAAATAATCATCCAGCTTAGTAGTGCTCAGCCAATCATGAGTCGCCTGAGACATTTATTTTTTGAATTTTGTGTAGGTGGATTTGAGCTGGAGCCCATGGATGTTTGAACCAGTTCTACATGTGATTTTGACAGGTTTAAAAACCACTTAAATTTAGGCAGGTGAATTCCCCCTATCCAACACCCTCACCAATTTTTCTGACGTTTGCTCATCTAATCTCTGATATATATTTGTGACAAGAACTTAGTACTACCTAGTCAGAAGGTTGTATAATTAGTAGTTAGGCAGATTACTATACTTGTATAAGAGTGACCATTTACTACCACATATGGATTGGATTAACTCTTTAAACAGGTTCACTTTCCAAATGACACCAATTATCAGGCCTGGGCCAGGAAGAAGCCAGAAGCTGGGACCTTCTGGTTCTCTCACATGGGTGCAGGGGCCCAAGCACTTGGGCTGTCTGCTACTACTTTCCCAGATGCATCAACAGGGAGCTGGATAGGAAGTGGAGCAGCTGGGACTTGAACTGGCACCCACATAGGATGCCACTGTTGCAGGTAGCAGGCTTAACCTACCATGCCACAATGCTGTCCCCAAAATGGATTTTATGCTTCTTGGGTATTGGCTTTGAAGTTTGATCTGGGTTTTAATATTCTCTGAACCTCATCTTCCTCATGTATAAAATGGGTATGTTGTTAACAAACTTGAAAGATTATACCAAGGATTAAATGAAAAAAAAATTATGCTGGCTGGAAAGAGTCTTTTCTGACAGTTCTCTTACCTTGTCAGCCTGTTCTCAAACAGTCCCATGTCCATAGGGCTCAAGTTAGAAATGTGGATGTGATGGAAGGCACCTAAATATTCATTCTGTGATTGTCAATGCCAGAAATAGGTTTTCATTTTGCCTCTTCATCAGCATGCTTTGTTACATCTGGCTTTTTATTTGGAACAAAGAATATGATACTTCTTATGGCAACAGATAAGCCTGCATTTCTGGAAATTAACCTTTACTTCTTAGGGAATTAGTTTCCACTGATACTGTAAACCCAACGCAAAACAAATGATCGTAGGAATACTTTAAAGGTAAAAGAAAAGATGTTGGATTACATAGAGACCAAAATGGAGAACCAAAGAAAATATTCCATGTCTCTTCTTGTCGAAGGGTAGAGACATATAACTGAAGAATGTTGGCCTTAGGAGAGGGTAAATGACAAGGCTGATAAACTGTTCAAGACCCAGACAGTCATCTCTTATCACTGTCATTTGATTTGGTTTGGCTCTGGAAATGTATGCTTTTCTTAAACAAAGCAGATTGGATCTATTCTAAAGTATTATCTCTGGCTGTGATCTGCCCTTCTCTTTAAGCTGTGACTACAAAGGAAAGTTTGTAGGTGATGGTTTCCTGTGACTTAAGTTTGATGGAACAATGTTTTTTTTTTTTTTTTTTCTTTTTGCTGTATGTAATTTGTATTAGCTATCTGTTTTTAAAGTGTTTTTTAATCTAACATCATGAAAACAGTACTTTGGGTTCAACTTTTCATGTGAGTGCTTTTCAAAAGGCAATTTTAACACTTTGGACATGTTTTTGCTTTTGAAAAGTGTATATTATATGTGGAACTTATTGGCCATAAATATTAAAGATATTCAATAAAATGACATTGAAATTTTGATTACTTCTTGATTTTTCAGGAAAGATATGTTGTTTGTAGACTTATTATTATTATCTTCTGGGGAGACAGAAAGTATTCATTTGACAGTGAAGGCAAGGATTGGATAACAGACAGAGGGTTAAGCTGATGCACTTGACTCTTTTTTTTTTTAAACAAAATTATATATTTGAGAAGCAGTGAAACAGATGAGAGTGAGCTCCAATCTACTGGTTCACTTCCCAAATGCACAGGATGGCCAGGGCTAGGAGGGAACTGAGTCCAAGACTCCCACATGGATGACAGGAATCCAGTTACCTGAGCTATCACTTGTGCCTCCCAGGATCTGCATTAGCAAAAAGCTGGAGTCAGGAGCCAGAGGCGAGTATCAAACCCAGGCACACCAATATTGATGTGAGTGTCTTGACTGGCATCTTAATTGCTAGGCCAAATGCCTACCCTGAGTCTTCATTTTGAATTTACCTTTTTAGTTCATTTGAGAGAAAGTCAGTGTGAAGTAGTGGGACATATACATTATAGAATATTACAGGGCAAGATGTGATTTAATTAATTAGAAAACATTTATTAAACTTAATGAAAAGAATGACTGTTATTAGAGCTATCTGTAGCATTCATTCATATCATCAGTCCACAACAGGAAGCAAATGTTAGAATGTTAATTTTTTAAAGTAATTTTATGTATTATCTTATTCTGTGTTTTTACTTTTAGGACCGGAGTAGGCCCTATGACACTTTTAACTTGCACTCGTTGGAGAACTCCTTAATGGATATGATAAGGACTGATCATGAGCCTCTGAAAGGTAAACACTACCCTCCCAGTGGCCCACCAATGAGTTTCGCTGATATAATGTGGAGGAATCATTTTGCAGGTTAGGAATATTCATATGTCCATTCCTTGCTTGGTGTTTTAAGCAAAAATCAGCTTTTTAATAATTGTGATTTTTTTTTTGGTTTGTGTTTGTTTTTATTTTGCTTCTGTAAAGCATTGTGGAATGTTTTTATTTTATTTTATTTTATTTTATTTTATTTTATTTTATTTTATTTTATTTTATTTTTGACAGGCAGAGTTAGAGAGAGAGAGAGAGAAAGAGAGAAGGTCTTCCTTCTGCTGGTTCACCCCTAAAATGGCCAGGAGCCAGGCGCTTCCTCGTGGTTTCCCATGCGGGTACAGGGCTCAGGCACTTGGGCCATCCTCCACTGCCTTCCTGGGCCACAGCAGAGAGCTGGACTGGAAGAGGAGCAACCAGGACAGAATCTGGCCCCCCAACCAGGACTAGAACCCCGGGGTGCCGGCGCCGCAGGTGGAGGATTAGCCAAGTGAGCCACAGCACTGGCCTGTGGAATGATTTTAAAGTTGATTATTTTTTAAACTTGTGTTTGGCTACCCGTAATCAAGATTGAGTTCTGGCAGAAGCGTGTGTTGGATAGCTGAGGTCAAGGTTATAGCATTAGACCAGAAGCCAAGTTTTGTAGGCTTTGTGTATTTGGAATCCTCAGCTCTACCTGAATAATTAATTAATGTCCAGATATACTGCAAAGAAGTATGAGATTTAGTAAACCACTCTCTAAAGACTACAGAAAACTTCATATAGAAGCCACTTTACTAAAATGGAATCACTTTTCTAGTACAGGAAGTATCACTATTATAAAGCAGCCAGTGACCTTTGCTTCCTCTGAGGCTAAAATACAAGGAAAACATCTTAAACTATGTAAATGTTTTAGTTTAAATAAAATAAGACAGAAAATCCTAAGGCGGGCAATATTGGGGCTTTCTGTGTTTAGAACCAATGCAAATTCAGGATGGATATTGATGTTACATTTGTAATTCCAGATCTTTTTTTATGATTTATAATACTTTTTAATGACCATATGATATTTTAAAAACCTGTAATACAAATTATCTGTGGAAATATCCACTATACTTGGGTTAGGGCCTAAATATCTGAACACTGTGAAGAATTAGCCACTGGGATGTCCATCTTGTATGGACCGAGGTGTCTTCCAGAGTTGTGAGGAACTTGATCCTTTCTGCTTCTCGCTGCGCCCTTACATAGTGCGGCGGATTCTGAACACCTGACACTCATTTTTCTTTAGCCACACCAGAAATCCATTTTACCATTGTTTCACACTCATAAGAGTTTCTCCTGCTTTTCTCAGTTTCCAGTGAAAAGTGACTAGTTAGTAAGATATGAAGACAATAAAAATATTTTGAGAAAAGCTGAATTTTAAAACTTTCAGAAGCAGGATAAAATATCTTATTCATTATTCATTGTTATATTTAGCCCCTGTTAACACATGTTTCTTCAGTGACAAGATTAGGTATATGGTAATTTAAGCATATTTAATTTAAAAGTGAGAACAATGTTTTTTAAAAAAACAATATTGCACAGACTGTTTTGTGTTTTTCGTATCCTTTTTTTTTTTTTATTTTTTATTTTTTTTGACAGGCAGAGTGGACAGTGAGAGAGAGAGACAGAGAGAAAGGTCTTCCTTTGCCGTTGGTTCACCCTCCAATGGCCGCCGCGGCCGGCGCACCGCGCTGATCCGATGGCAGGAGCCAGGAGCCAGGTGCTTTTCCTGGTCTCCCATGGGGTGCAGGGCCCAAGCACCTGGGTCATCCTCCACTGCACTCCCTGGCCACAGCAGAGGGCTGGCTTGGAAGAGGGACAACCGGGACAGAATCCGGCGCCCCGACCGGGACTAGAACCCGGTGTGCTGGCGCCGCTAGGCGGAGGATTAGCCTAGTGAGCCGCGGCGCCGGCCTGTTTTTCGTATCTTCTAAGACTATGTCTTCCTTCTCTGCCATCCATAGCTATAGACCTGTCCTAACTATTCTAAAATATTTAGCTACTTTTCTTTATATATACCCATTTTATCTTGGCCTATTTTTTTCTTCTAGAAATAAAAGATTGTCAAGAGATCTTAGATTATATTCTATACAGTACCTTTGCAGAATTTTGTGAATGTTGGTTCTGTTGAGAGTAGCATTAGCATAGTACAAGAAGTGTACCTTGCTACAGGATAATGTAAATACCTTATTCCAGTTGTGATGACCTATTTTTATTGCATGTCCAACCACCTCTGCATAGATTTCTTTACTGTACTTGGAAATATGAGGCTCTCTATAAAAGCCTGCTGGCTTGTGCTTACGTTACATCCTAATAAGTTGTCAGACACTTAGTATGCAGCCCTGATATGGTTGAAACTTTTCAGTTCATCCTATCACTCATGTTGATTTCCTATGAATTGAATACTTCCTTGTGATCACAGACATCACTGTGTCATTGTTCTCTGGTTAGGGTATTTGAATTTCCTTCTTTCCTTTTCTACTTGGGAGACTTTTAATTTGGTTTATGGCACTGTGTGTCTGATGATTATTATGACATAATTATACTTGCATTTTATTTTTTATAAAGTTTTTTTTTTTTATTCATTTGAAAGAGTTACAGAGAGAAAGAGGAAGAGACAGAGAGAGACAGAGAAAGAGAGAGATCCTCCATCTGGTAGTTCACTCCCCAAATGGCTGTAACGGCCAGGGCTGGGCCAGGCCAAACCCTCTTTAAAGCTCCAGTGTCCTCATCATTAAAAGAAAAGACTTAATAGAATGAGTAAGAAGATAAGTAAAAGCCCTGGCACTATAAAATGTTCAAATAATTTCTACTATTTTTTAAAGGATTTATTTATTTATTTTGAAAGGCAGAGTTACAGAGAGGCAGAGCAGAGGCAGAGAGAGAGAGAGAGGTCTTCCATCCTCTGGTTCACTCTGCAGATGGCCACAATGGCTGGAGCTGTGCCAATCAGAAGCAAGGAGCCAAGAGCTTCTTCTGGGTCTCCCACGTAGGTGCGGGAGCCCAAGGACTTGGGCCATCTTTTACTGCTTTCCCCGGCCATACCAGAGAGCTGGATTGGAAGTGGAGCTGCCGGGTCTTGAACTGGCGCCCATATTGGATGCTGGCACTATAGGCAGCGGCTTTACCCACCATGTTGCAGCACCAGCGCCCTATTTCTACTATTTTTTTAAAAAGATTTATTTATTAATTTGAAAGTCAGAGTTACACAGAGAGAAGAGAGCAGAGAGAGAGAGAGAGAGATTTTCCATCCATTGATTCACTCCCCAAATAGCCACAATGGCCAGGGCTGACCAGGACCTTCATTCAGGTCTCCCATATGGGTGCAAGAGCCCAAGCACTTGAGCCATATTCTGCTGCTTTTCCCAAGCCATTAGCAGGGAGCTAGATTAGAAATGGAGCAGCCGGGGCTGGCGCCGCGGCTCAATAGGCTAATCCTTCACCTAGTGGCGACAGCACACTGGGTTCTAGTCCCTGTTGGGGCACCGGATTCTGTCCCGGTTGCCCTTCTTCCAGGCCAGCTCTCTGCTGTTGTCCGGGAGTGCAGTGGAGGATGGCCCAAGTGCTTGGGCCCTGCACTTCATGGGAGACCAGGAGAAGCACCTGGCTCCTGGCTTCGGATCAGTGCGATGCGCCGGCAGCAGTGTGCCGGGCCGTGGCGGCCATTGGAGGGTGAACCAACGGCAAAGGAAGACCTTTCTCTCTGTCTCTCTCTCTCTCACTGTCCACTCTGCCTGTCAAACAAACAAACAACAAAAACAAAGGGGCCGGCACTGCGGCTCAATAGGCTAATCCTCCGCATTGTGGCGCCGGCATACCAGGTTCTAGTCCCGTTCGGGGCACCAGATTCTGTCCTGGTTGCCCCTCTTCCAGGCCAGCTCTCTGATGTGGCCCAGGAGTGCAGTGGAGGATGGCCCAAGTGCTTGGGCCCTGTACCCCATGGGAGACCAGGAGAAGTACCTGGCTCCTGGCTTCGGATCAGCGTGGTGTGCCGGCCGTGGCGGCCATTGGAGGGTGAACCAACGGCAAAGGAAGACCTTTCTCTCTGTCTCTCTCTCTCACTGTCCACTCTGCCTGTCAACAACAACAACAACAACAAAAAATAAAAATTAAAAAATAAAAATAAAATACTATTGTTTTAAAAAAAAGAGAGAAATGGAGCAGCTGGGACAAAAACTGGTGCTGAAATGGGATGCTGGCATTGCAGATGGTGGATTTTCCCACTGTACCACAGTGCTGGCTTATGCCAGTTGCCTGGCTTCAGTAATACGGTAAATCTTCACATCCATACAATAGTGACTTCCTTCCAACAAGACTGCCGCTAAATGTTAAAAGCTTTCTTATGCGTGTTGTCAAAATTTTGTATTTTCCATAAATAAGTAGTGGTGGTTGAAGGATAAATGTGCTATCATTAAAAAAAAAAATCACCTAAAGGAGCAGGTATTTTGTGCACCAATTAAGACACTGCTTGGCCCTGTGCTTCCCGTATCGAAGTGCCCGGCTTTGAATCCTCTCTGTTTCTGATTCTAGCTTCCTTCTAATGTGTACCCTGGGAGGTAGCAGATGATGGCTCCAGTGCTAGGGTTGCTGGCACCCATGTGGCAGACATGGACTGTATACTGGTCTGCCATCTTTGGCCTGACCTGGCCTGGCTCTGGCTGTTGTGATTTTGGAGAGTAAACCACCAGATGGAAGATCTCTATCTTTCATATAAAAATAAATAAACTATTAAATAAATAAATAATTTAAAACCACCTAAAGACAAAAGGAAAACAGTACTCCTAAGTCATGTTGACTTTCCAAAATTGTCTACCTGAATAATATAAAGTAAATATTGGCCGGCGCCGCGGCTCACTAGGCTAATCCTCCACCTTGTGGCGCCGGCACACCGGGTTCTAGTCCTGGTCGGGGCGCCGGATTCTGTCCCGGTTGCCCCTCTTCCAGGCCAGCTCTCGGCTGTGGCCAGGGAGTGCAGTGGAGGATGGCCCAAGTGCTTGGGCCCTGCACCCCATGGGAAACCA